AATAGTCAGCCTGACAACTTGATTTGACTTTCACCTAAATGTTAGGTAATAGCTGCAGCTAGGAGTACACCATCCCGCTGCACACATTCCTAGAGAAAGCAGATCAGCCAGCAGTGGCACATGGTTTAGTTATTTTTCATTTGGATTTTAGAAAGATTTACATCTTTTTTTAAAAAAATACTACAAACTACATCTAATTGGTTTTTTGCTTGTTTTAATTGGTTAGTTTTGTAGGTTAGTTTTCTGGCAATCTGGCTTTTTAATACATTTACTACCCATTCCTACTATCAGGTCTAGTTATGTTGGCTGCATTCAGGCTTCCTTAATGAAGTTCATATGCAATACTACATCTGAATTATGCAGATTCGTGGCTCATCATAAGTGAACCTTATGCTAATGTAAACAGATCCAATACCAACATTGATTGCTAGATAGTTAACATGCAAGGAATGCTATGCTAAAAGATAGTTTCAGCATAGTTTATCTATGTCCATTGATGGGTAGAACCAATAAAAAAGAAATGTATGGTACATAGAAGTATACTAAGGAGAAAAAAAGGTGAGGGGGAAAGTATGTAAAAAGTATAAATTGGGTCTGATACATTTCAGATGAACATATCTTTTTCAAGAACATTGTACAAAACAAACACAGAAACTTGAAAAAAGATATAGTAAGTGCTTTAACTCTGTTAGCCACAAGTGGCAAATGGGCAACCATTGAAATTGAAACAAAAGAAACTAATCAACAATTGGTGTGATGTGTATTATACCACATATTTGGCCGTCACCTCTAGAAACACTTTCTATTTTGCTACTGTAATTTAAAAACCTTTATGTTAAATATTATAGATATTGAAAGCAAATTTTGAGTTGTTCTTTCATTAAACTTAGAAAGACATAAGGTGTCAAGGAAGTTCTAATAAATATACTCTTAATATATATGTGTGTAACATATGTGTGTGTTATCAACAGTAATATTGAAATAATGCACAGCTAATTGGTCCTTAAAAGAGTAGAGGAGAAAAATGGACTTAACATCTGTGATGTTCTTTGTTCCCAGATATGAAATTAAAGATTTATTAAGCCATGCCTTCTTTGCTGAGGATACTGGGGTGAGAGTGGAACTTGCAGAAGAAGACGATGGTAGTAAATCCTCTATTGCCTTAAGACTCTGGGTAGAAGATGCTAAGAAATTGAAAGGGAAGTCCAAAGATAATGGAGCCATTGAGTTTACTTTTGAACTGGAGAAAGAAACTCCTGATGATGTTGCACAAGAAATGGTAAAATAAACTTCTCTTGACACTCTTTTTTCTTCCTTCCTTCCTTCCTTCCTTCCTTCCTTCCTTCCTTCCTTCCTTCTTCTTCCTCCTCCTCCTCCTCCTCCTCTTCTTCTTCTTTTCTTTCTCTCTCTCTCTCTGTCTATGTGTATGTGTATGTAATGTAAATTTCAAATGACATCAGAGGCAAACCTGGAAAAGTAAATTTGATTCAAAAGATACAGCACAAATTATCTTCAAAAGCCATAATTGGATCCACAGAAATGAAGTACAGTAATTTAAGTTACGAATCTTGCTTATATGTAATTTTATATTTAATTTCCTCAACATCAAAACACATTCTTTCAGAAGCTGATAAAATTTTGATTGGCACTCGTTAGGTAAGAATTTAGAGTAGAATTTAAACCATTTTTTTTCTTTGTGCAGTAAAATAAGTTACAGTATATACCATATATTTATGGCCTGGTTGCAATCTCCTCACGGCCCACAGTTTGGGGGGCCCTGCTTTACAGAAATTTCTGGGCAGTTTACAGAGTCAGCATATTTCCCCCAACAATCTGGATCCTCATTTTACCGACCTTGGAAGGGTGGAAAGCTAAGTCAACCTTGAGCTGGTCAGGATCATACTCCAGACTGTGGGCAGAATTAGTTTGCAATATAGTATTGCGTTGCAACCACTGTACCAGGGTATTTGGATGCACTGCCTATTATTTTGAAAAACTGCATTTATATGCTTGAACTATACTATAGGAGCTTCTTCCTGAAAAATTGTTTCTTTTTCAAATTGCATTGCAAATGGGAAATTTCTTACTTGGTTTATTCATGAAGCAGACAATGAGATTATATGATTTTGATGCCAACTATGACTGGTTTTAATTGTTCCTAAAAATGCCCCCCTCCCTTTCACCATCTGTTACATTTGGACTAAAACAAATATCCCCACTTACTTTACATAAAGTTCTAGGAATATTTAAATTATAATAGCTCCAACAGTGATATAGATAACTATTCATAGCGAATGGTGACTAATAAAAATATTTATGACAATTGATCATAGTTTTGCAATTGCTTCTCTGCTTTATAAAAAAAATGTTTCAGATACAACTTGTACTCTTCTTGAAAATAATTTTATCAATGAAAACCTTGGAGTTCTATCTACTATATTTAATTTAAGCAGTACTTCTGCAAACTAATCAGCCACACACATACAAAACCTCAGACTGGTGATTTAGAATCTGTAACTCTCTACTCAGTTACTAAAAGTGGATATGGAATGGGTGTAACAATGTAAAACACAATCACAATATGGATTTATTCTTGAAAATCTTTTATTTCAGGTTGATGCCGGATTCTTTCATGAAAGTGATGTCAAAATAATTGCAAAATCAATACGTGACAGAGTAGCCTTAATACAATGGAGAAGAGAGAGGATTTGCCCTGTGTTGCATTCAGAAGATCATCGGGATCCTGAGAGCTTAGAAAAAACGAAGGCCACACAAGCACAACCACTTCAGATTATACACACTTCTCATGCTGGTCAACAGATTCCATCAGAACCAGACGAGCCTGAAGTGGACCAGCATCTTTCTCAACAAAATCTGCCCACAAGCATCACTTCACTTGCATGTAAGTCTAGTATCTGTTCTGTGTTGGTATATAAGGATATAGCACAAATACACTGATGCTCAGAATGGATGTCATTGGCCATGTTTATGCACTGCAGTAAGCCAAAACTCTTCAGGATTCTGGTTTAACAGGAATAGGTATGTTAATACAGAGTCTTTAATAGCTCCTGCTCCATCTGGCTGATGGGGATAATTATCAAACATGAAGTATTTAATACATAATTTGCTTAATAGGTTATCTGAATTAGCACCTCTGTTTTTGTTGGCTTAACCAGTTGGAACTTAATATGCATAAGCTTCTTCCTACTATGCTAAAATTCTATAGAATTTTAACTCTGATGGACTGATGCAGCCAGGCAGTAGTGGGTTGCAGGCGGTACGCCCCGTACCGGTTGGAACGGAATGCAGAACCCACCACTGCAGCCAGGGCTTTGGTTGCATGGATAAGAACAAATAAATATATGCTAAATATATTTACTAAATATATACAAGAACAATAAATATATCCTAAATATATAAACGAACAATAAATATTTACTAAGAAATCAATAAACAGTTTGTGTTACTATGATTAGGATTGTACCTAATTGAATTTGTGTCATTCAACAATTTTAAAGTAGGGGGAAAAGTCATTGGAAGGAAGTGAATTTCCCTGCGATTTAAGGGGAGATGTTACCTTGCCAGGTCACAAGTAAAGGCTCCCCTCCCTTCTTTTTTATAGTAACCATGTTGCCTCCAGGTGATCATACCATTGCTAGAAATGGAAAGACAGAGGATGTGTCTTTCTGACAGAGGACCATTTTCTGACATGTTAATATAGCCAACTCTTTAAACTGTATTCAATTTTCCTTCTAAAACAAGCTAATTATGCTCATGTGTTCAATGTGTATGGAAATTTGCCAATACGTATTTTGACAGAGGAAATACTGTTCTAGGTTTATTCAAGATTACAATTACAATTTTCTTACGCTGTATTAGTAAAAATATTTAAAGACTCTGGGGCTGCTGCTTGAAGACCTATATACATTATATTTTAATTGCATTAGATAAAAATTAAAGTCTCTTTTATAGTGCAGAAATGTTTTAAAAATAATCTTTTTTTCTGAGTTTCTACTCTCAATTGGTTCTTTCAGGACTGTAAATTTTTGGTATCATATGTTGTTCCAATTATTGCACAATGTTTTTAAGTCTAAAAGCCCTATAAATAATTTCCTTGATGCTGCTGGTGATATTCAAATACAGCAGAAATGTACATAAATAATTTAGCATCTGTGTACAACAGATGATAACAGAATCCAAGTTTGGCTTCCAACTGCTGCTTCAGCTTTGTAGAGTTGTCTTCATTTTTGTGGTTAGATGATTCCTATAATTAGATTATATTTTCCTATTCTATAAACATCTCTACATTATTAAGTATCCAACTCTCTCCCCCTCCCACCATAAACTTAGATGAGTAAAATTGAAAGGAGTTATTGTTTTCTAAATTTGGAGAGATGATTAAGTAGACATGGGTGAAATTTTCATCTGTGAAAGATTGATTGAAAAACCCAGAAATGTGGCTTCCAAAGTCAAATGAAATGAATTTTCCCAAAACGTAACCCATGCACAACACATTTTTAATATTCTTAAATAATAGCAGGAAGCAGTGCTTTATACTTTTTACATCATTTGTTGCTGTATAGAAACAGGTAAAACAATGTTCAAATTATTTTATTGGGTATAATATGGGGTGTACACCTCATTTAACCTTACTAGAAGTATACAATTTTTTTTAAAAAGTTCATTTATATACTTTAGCAAACTCAGATATTGTCTAGTGGCATTTCTTAATGTTTGCCACTTTCAGTGATCCTGTGGTGCTTCATTATTCTCTCCTGGAAGGAAAGCAAAAATAACCAGAATCTCAAATAATTCATGCTGACTGCTCAATGGGGGTGTATCCTACTGGAGGTGGTTGAAGTATTAAGAGAAAAATCCCCCCTCCCCCTCCAAGCATCCTGTTCCCTTTCCCCCCATATTTTTAATTGTAATTTATACTGTTATTAGAAATATATATTTTATGGTTTTATTGGCTTTTAATGTAAGCAACTCAACAGTCGCTCTAGGCAAGATGAATGGCAAACAAATCCAATAAATTAATAAAAAAANAATAAAGTGGTAAAAATACAAAATATCTGTTGCAATTCCATATATAGCTAAAGCTAGGAAGAAAGTTGGATGAAGAGCTTTCTAACATTGCCGAAGTACTTACCTGAGGGTTAGCTATTACTGAGCAAACTTGGCCTTTTACCGGGGTCTTCCAGCTTCCTTGCTCAGAAGAGATGGCAGCAGAACTTTTCAAGTCTGGTCCAAGGCTAATCCCACCCATCGTGTTTTATTGGCAGTCTCAGATTCACTGCTAATTATAAATGTAGGGTGTTGTGGACCTTGGCAGAACAAAGAGATTCTATGTCCTTGGTTGCTGCATAATTGTACAGCATGGGGAAGCGGAAGGGGCATATACCACAGTGACTGATGACGGGAAGGGCCTTGACTCAAGGCTCTGTTATAGCAGCTAGAGGGCAAAGTAGGAACTGCAAGTAGGCAAGCTAAGTAGCCAGGGGAGTGTGTCATGAGGAAGGCCTTCTTACCTTCATCAGGAAGCTATTTTTCCTTGGGTTGAGATATGTGTCTGTCTCTTCTAGTGCTTTTTACAAATCTGTATGTATGTTTACTGGATTAGGATTCTTTCTAACACTCAGGAATGAAATAATAAGAAATAAAGATAATTCTGTTTTTCTCTATGAGGGAATTTCATCTGTAGGAAGCAAGATTCTGTAACTATAATTTTATACCAAAAGCAATATTAGTATGTGTAGCTTTGATTTCCTAGTCTGATCTACCTTGGAGAATTGATGGTATGCTTAAATAAAACAGCTATTATATTTTATGTTTTGCAGCTATCAACCCTGATCCCAGCAACTGATGATTGTATATTATTGGAGAACTTGTGGTCAAAAAAATACAATAGTGATTTGTCTGTCAGGAGTGCTGACCAGATCTTGGCAGCATTTCCTGGGCCTATTTCAGTTCAACTCATCATGGCTTGACAAGGATTTAATTCAAAATATTTTTAAAGACTGTCTAATATGAAAACAGAGCTATATAAGAATCTTTATTTCATACTAGGAAAAAATTGCTTCACTGTGACAAAATTTGCTTTTTATATTCACTGATCATAGTTTAATTCTGGCATTTATTCCTTCCACAGTTTCCATAGTTAAATAAACTTTTTGTCCTGTTCAGCTGTGAACCTGGACTACTGACATAAGCAACATTCTGTTCAGCTGGGGGGGGGGGGAAATCTTAATTTTTTACTTGCATTTTGTCAAGACATACTTTTGACTCCTACTGAAATCATTACAGAAATCAGATACTAAAACTCAACAATAAATGAAGGTTTACAACCTCTTACAAAAAATGATGCAGATGTACATTAAACAATGGGCCCAGTCACTCATCCTGTTTGGCCCTACAAAGTGTACTAATTCAAAAAACAAAACAAAACCCCACCCTGGCAATATGGATGCTCTGGCCAACAACTTCAAAGTCCTGACAGAACTGTTGAAAGAAATGTCCTTCTGGGTTCAGCTCCAAGTGGGGAAGAAGACACTAGAGACATGGAGGCTG